TACCCACCCATGCTTAATGTTAAAGACTTAAAAAAGAGGTGTTGACAATTCTGAACAAGAAGGCATAGTTATAATGCAAATTGGCAAATTTGCAATTTAGATTATGATAAAGCTAATTTAGTCTATAGAAAAAATTAGGCTGCATTGTAAAAGTGAGTTGTTTCACAGCACATCGATATAGCAGGTTCCCCACCAACATAATTAATTACTAATTTCATTCAGCTGAGTTTAATGGAAAAGCAGCTGGAAAAGTATTCATATGTATGGGCTTCCTATGACAGTTACCTTATATACTTATGGTACATGACAGTATATCACAAAAAATAATAGACTTTCTGAAATAATATCTGTTCCAATCTCACAAAACAACTACTCAGACAGGAGAGGGTCACTGAACTCATTGCAAGCCAGGACAGAAAGGAAACAAAAACATACTTTAGCACAACTCAGTTATGAAAACTTAATTACAGGGCAGATTTTCATCCAGGCTATCACCTAGGCACCAGCTGTGCATCTGCTGTCTTGTATCCCATTGAGATGCAGGTTGAGCTTCAAAATATAATACATGGATGCTCACCTCAGACCCATGAATGTCACTTGCAGACCAAATAAACAATTGACACTTGAGTTTCAGTAGCTCTGCAGTGAACTGTTGATTTAACCTGTTCTCATACAGGGGATACAGGAAATTGTGAAAATTACATTAAACATTTTAGCAGTGCCTAAATGTTGTGCGCCCAGTGCTGTGACAGGACAAGGTGTAATGGTTTTAAAGTAAAAGAGGGCAGATTCAAACTAGACTTAAGAAGGTTTTATTCAGTTGGGTGGTGGAACACTGGACCAAGTTGCCCAGAGAGATGGAGAATGCCCTAGAAACATTCAAGGCCAGGCTGCATGAGGCTCTCAGCACATGAGGCTCTGAGCGAATCTATTTGAAGATGATGCTGCTTACTGCAGGGGGGTTGACCTCTAAAGGTCCCTTTCAATCCAAATTATTCCATGATCCTATGAGTTTATGACTACAGTTCTCCAGAGGGAAGAGATTATAAGCAACTTAGGTGCCTTAAATTGTTTAGTGCTTGAAACATACATTGCCTATATCTAGTTCAAACCTCTAAGATGATAAACAATAGCACCAGGGTTTGAGTTTTGCTAATTCCTATTAGATTCATTCATCAAAATGCTGAGCAAGTACTTATCTCTGAACATCTTTGATATCAATATGTGGAAGGCTGCATTCAGAGCAAAGGCAGTGGCTCACAAGCGTGGCTGACAGCAGGTGAGGTATGGAAGTTGCACCATCCTGTGCCAAAGGCCCATAATGGAACAGTGGATATCAGCAACAGACAGCAGGTTTACTGCATCAGTCCAAACAATCTTGTCCACCTCACTATACTCACTGCTTCAAACAAACAGACCTCCCCTCCTCCCTCCTTTATTTAGTCTACTCTGTTCTCTATCACAAGTGAAAGTATATAAAATACATATGTATATTATTTCTCCAATCCAGTCCTGTCATCTTCAGCCTTAGGGAAACCCTGAGGTTCAACCCAGATAAGCAGATGTCTAAATTTTTTTTTCTGAACAAAAAAAAGCATACCTTTGCAATCACCTACAATTTTTCTTCCCAACATCCTGAAGTATTGAAATACATTAAAAAAATGAATGAAATAGGTATCTGGCAGTTTAAAGTAATTAGCATTTCCTAATTCCATTTAAATATTTTGAGGTATATGTAAAAATCAGCATAACTCAAGAAGCAATCTAAGATTTAAATGACATTAGAGAGAAATACAACTAAGGACTAACTTGCTTTAATAAGGAGACAGGTTTTTTCCTTCATGCTATGTTTTAACACATATCAACTTACAATGCAAACAGTGGGCTAACTGAAAATGAGACTGGACAGACAGTTATCATTTAAGAACACAAAAATTGTCAACTAAGGTACAAAACATTTTTTTTACCATTTTGAATGGCATTCATGCTTTACAAAAATACCATAAATTCTTTGATCAAATGAGTTATGGATTGAGATGATTCAGTATATATTTCAGTTTGTGTCTCTGTGAGTAATGCATACACATCTGCCCCATTTTGAACATCCAGCCAGAGGTCTGGAGGGCTACTCCTTTCATAAAAAGTGAATAATATGAATTGCCCTTAAGATTTACAGTTTCTTTGCAATATTCCTTTCTCAAAGAAGCTGTTAATTTTGGCTGCTGCACTTCATAGGGCTTCCAGCTAACAGCTGCAACAAAGAAACACATTTGCATTTCTAAAATACTTCACAGTACCTCAGCTAAACGGTTAATGACTTTTAGAAATGAGAAGGGTGCAATTGCTTATTTTTAGACATATAAAGGGGGAGTGAGTAGGCTTCTTTCATACATATAACACAAATTATGCAAATATTCTGCTACTAAGTAGAGAGTTGTAGGTAGCATAAAATGCCTGGATTACATATGGAGGGTGACAATAAAAAATTGGTTTGCATAGTCCCTTGTGTTTTGAAATTCATTGCTCAGAAAGAGCTACTACCTACTGTAGGGTAGATGAGAGAAAAGCAAATTGACTCTTCATCTGCCAAGCTAAGGAGGCAGCAATTTTTCCCCCACAAAATTGGAATACTGTTGGGAATGAGCAATAAAATGACCTGGATTCTCTGTAACATGGAAAGAAACAGGTCTAAAAAAATAAATCTAACAGCAGGCTAAAGCCTGTACCTCGTTACTTGCCTTGGAGGCTGTAAGGGCAATATAAACAAATCAAACTATCTTTACAGCAGCAGCCAGAAAGTAAACACCCATTTAAAGAATAAACAGGTGGAAAGACAAACCTGCTTGCCCAGTGCTGAGGAAAAACTTGTTTGTGCTTAATATGTTGGAAAAATTGTTCAAGAGCAGTTCATCCGTGTATAACTGCAACCCTTGAAATGCTGCCAAGGTCAGTGAGACCAACAGCAGAGTGATCTGCTGAGTAATTGCTCGTTGGCAAGTTAAGGCAGTCAGGGGAAAGGCTTTATCCGACTTCTAAATATTTACTTTCTTTTATTGTTCAGAAAGCAGTTCTCTCCCCACCTCTCCACTCTCTTTGTCAGCATGTTTTCTGGAAGCTCCTCAAAAACATTAACCCTATTGATTCTCGCTCTGCTTCTGCAGATGCATCTTGATTACCTCTCCCTCATATGTTCGAGCAATTTCATTAGTAAATAACAAAAACTCCAACCCAACCAACCAACCAACCTTTACAAATCAATTGTGATTGCTGTAAAAAATAATTCTGAAGTCAATCTTATTACTTTCACACCTGACTCCCTTCTAAAAAAGAAAACCTTGCCTCATCTTCTGGACACAGTGACGTGGGTATTAATTAACACAGCTGTAATAGGCCCTCATTTTCCCTGCCCTCAGAGCTCTTATTTACCACTGCTTCTCTTTTACAGCACCACCACCTGCCCCTCAGCCAGGGCTGTAAAATACCTGGGAGCACAGCTTGGGTTTTGCTATTTTCTAGATACTCATTATAGTATTTTCTAGATACTCATGTCCCTGTTATGGCTTAGCTGTGCTAACACATTCAGAGTTAGAGCCCTTCCAAAACTTCCATGGAAGTTAAAACTCTCCAGGCTCTTTTTCGCTTGTGGCAAAAGCAAATCATGCTACATTCACATCCACTGCAGTTAGACTTACTGTCCTATCCTGTTGCTTCAGCTACATCACCTCTTTTAACCATCTCTTCTCCATCTATCCAAACACAGAACCATGTGAGATTTTTTACTTATTGGACTTTTTTTGATTTTTCAGATTATTCCTGATTTCCTCATCACTCAGCGTTATGCTTGCCTTTGTCTGACCTGTGGCTACTTCTTTTGTTGCCAATTCAATCCACCTCAAAGTGCTTAGCCATGATGCTTCTCATACTTGAGCGATGTGCCCCATGAATACTGCAGTCACAGGGTTAGTCCTGGCATGGCTCTAATGAGCTTCACGCCACGCTCTCCACTCACCAAAGTGCAAATTAGTCATCTGTTATATGCAGAGCATTGCCAGCTCCTCTGCCTGGGCTTCCTACCTGTTGTCATGCAGAAGTTTTTCTATGTGGCTCTGCCAAGATAAAAAATTGTTTGGATAGGACCCTACTCCACTGTTACAGACCTGCAGCATCTTACACAAAGGGGCATTAGTGCGGAAGGGAATTTCTTAGCACTATAGCTCCATGTTTTCTTAGTGCTCCTATTTATATGCATGATTTCTCATGCTAGCTCACTGTCAAAGTCTGTGTAGTGGAGAAGGATATCCTGCTCTATACAGGACATATAGACTCTAAATGACTGGGTAAAAAAAGCTCCATTGAGAATGGTATAGTAACTTCCAAAGGTTTTCAGGCACTAGAACTAACTTTGTTACAGAAACTGTAATAAGGGTGGCTTTTTCCCAATCAGCTGTATTAAACTGCTGTTACGTTATTGACACGTAAGAAATTTGACAGTATTCTAAAATAGAACATTATGTTGACAAGAAGATAATTTTGGGCAGTTAGGTATTTTTTACATGGTGGAAGTGACATTTTTATATAGGCGAGTCACTTTTTAGTGCTTCTTCTCCTTAAAAGAGAAAAAAAGAAAGAAAAACAATAGGGAACTTCATTTTCAAAAGACATAAAGCTATCACATAAAAATAGAAAAGCACAAATCAAATAGTATATTTACCGTTCAAAATAAAAGTAACCTCCTGCTCAGTGAAAGGCAGTTAAAGGGAAAAGACTGAAGAGGAAATTCTTCCACCTTCTCTTCATGGCAAGCTAGCTATGAAGAACTTGATCAGCTATTATATACCATTTCCTTTCTTAAATATCAATTCATTTTCCCAGACTGACACATGCAAATACTCTCTTTAAAAAAACACTTTCAAAGCGATACACTTGTGATTGAGAGGCGGCCAGCAGCGCCGGCCAGTTGCGCTTTGCAGCGCGGGCAGGGTAAAGCGCAGGCAGCCTACCAATGGTGCAGTGCTCTCCGTTCCATCC